CTGTGGACCCATGGAGAGAGAGGAGCCCATGCTGGAACAGTTTTGCTGACAGGACTTGTGACCCCATGGGGGACCCATGCTGGAGCAGCCTGTGCCAGAAGGTCTGCAGACCATGGGAAGGAGCCCCGCTGGAGAATTTCATTCAGGACTGTCTGCCATGGGTGGGATTGCACACTGAAGCAGAGGAAGAGTGTGAGGAGGAAGGAGCAGCAAAGACAACGTGTGATGAACTGACCACAATGCCCATTCCCCATCCCCCTGTGCTGCTAAGAGAAACACTTCCCAGGAGCTCAGTTTTACGTGCGAGGTACGCCATGCATGCACCCGAGGGGCATTTTACACAGCAGTTCTGTACGTTCCCAGCACAGCCCCTGTGAACTTTCTGGAAAGCTGACAGTGTGCATCCCGGCCGCAAAGGCTCAGGCTGAGGAGCCAGAGAGGAACGTGGCCAGAGGAGGATGAACGAGAGCTCCTAAAGTCTATCCAGAGGAACAGCACGGCCAAGGGACTGACAGGAGCCTTTCCACATCACCGCCAACTTCCTGAGTTTTCAGGCTGCCCCCTCCTCCCCCGGCGTGCATGTCCAGGCCCCTTACTGCACCGGAGATGAAAGCAGGGCTCCCAGGGACAGCCTTGCTTTTTGATACAGCCGACTCATTCTCAAACCAAGGGCAGGGGAGAAGCGGACCACAAAGATTCTTACGTGATGTACAGCCACTGGGGAAAGGAACCAAAAGCTCGACTTCAGCATTTCCATGCTGCATAAGATAGCATTTTAGAAGGCGCTCAGAAACAATTATTTTTAAATTTTGTCTTGTAAGACATCCTCTACCAATATGAGTCTTTCACATGAACATTCTTACTGTAGAAGTTGCACGATTATCAAGGAGAGCGCTTACTCGCTGTTAGGTTTTTTATTTCCTCCTGATGTTTCAGTTTTTCAAAGAACAACTGAAAAAAATCCGATCTTTCTACATGTCTAGGAGCAACACAAACAGCATCTATGTCAGCACCTGCAGAGAGATTCCATTTCTTCTGTTATTGTTAGAAGTCACTTTCAAACATCAGAACTATGAGCAGACAATGAAAGTTCTACCTTGAGTGTGTACTCCAAGCCTGTAAGAATCAAAGGTAAATATTTTGACACCAACATTTGCTGCTGCTGAAGGGGGAAGATTCTGTGGGTAGAAGAGAAAGCGTTTGCTTTAGAACAGAAGATACACATTGACCTGTGTGCAAGTTTAGGTAGCATGCAGGTTTCTTAGAAAGACTACAACAGCCTCCATAAACAGTGTCTTCTCACGCCCATACTGAGTTGTTAGTCTAACAGGTTGCTGCTGTTTTTCTGAAATGAGTGTTTGCAACTCAAAAAAAACAAAAAAAAAAAAACAAACAAAACCAAACAAAATAGATGAGTAATGTAGCAGTCCTTTCATTAATTTACACAAATTAAGGACTATTATTAGTCTTCCCCACAGCAGATGCACATAAAGGAACACAATCTCTGCAAAAGGCAAGTCTAGTGTCATAATTTCAAACCACACCTGGGTGCTGCAGGCTGTTTGGGGCGAGATTAGTGCCCATTTCCCACCTAGCTCACCCCACAATACGTTGTTTCAGCTTTGTTAGCTGACAGAAGTCAACCCACAGAGCCACTTCACACATTTGTTCAGTGCCCCAAAGACTTCAAGATTGTGAACTGTAGTATCTTTTATACCTTATTTCAATGGCAGTTGCTACAGCTCTACTCAATACTTAAGGAGAAAGTTAAAAGTTCGACTTCAGCATAAATCCTAGTAGTATGGCCTTTAAGAGAAATAAAAAGGCTTCAGCTGTTTTGATAATAACATATAAAAAATCCTTACCTTGCTCTCACCAAATTCTGAAATCCATTCTTGGAACAAGTTATTCAGCTTACCAAGAACCACCAGCTTGTAAAGGAAACTCATGTTAAGTTTGCCCTGAAAACCCAAGAGGTTAACAAATTTTAGCCTTGTTATACTGGTGATTCAGTTCCTCCTCCTCTTCAAATACCCAAAACATGCTTCGTTGCTGCAACTGGCTTCTGAGTACTGGATTCAATCCTACATCCTTAGGAGGAGCCCAGCTAATGGGAGAAGTGATTCCATAGTGCCTGTGAGGCTGCTTCTGCAGCCTAGAAATACTGAGGGAGCAAATAAAATACTGAAGTCTTCACAAAAGGGAAAAAAAAACAAACCAAACCAAAAAAACATACCCCTCACTGGAAAACACCCTTCAGCTTACAGGTTTCCAAATCAACTTCTGCTTTTACCCAGCATTAATATAAATGAGAGAAAAAAAAAAAAAAAAAAAAAAAGTCCTGCTTACGATTTTTAGATAACTTGACCTAACTTTGAAATCCAAATACTTTTTTAAAAGACATTTGTGGATATAAGAAAAGAATCAAGTAGATACCATGTTAATACAACTTGTCTGCGTTGCTCTAGACAGCTAGAGCTGATCACCAGGAAATGAAAGGGTTTGAAATCCACTAAGGGTGATACTACACACAGCAGACGCTTAGGACACATTTCTGTTTTGTATCAGCTTTGATTTAAGGATATTCCCATCAGCTTCCTCCTAACATTAAACAAGACAATTTAACATTGGCTTCTTTTAGTTAAGTGTTTTTATGCATGTCTTAAATCTGAAAGAAAAGACATCACTGCTGCTTGGTTTCTCCTTCCTTGCCTCCATGGACAGTAACTAAGCCAAGAAAACCAAAATCTGTTCCCCCATGCAAAGAAAGACACTGCACAGCCCAAACAGCCATTAGTTTTCATCAGTTTTGAAATTATTCCTTAATTAAAGGCACAAAGGGGAAGGTCTGGGACTACTGAATTGCTGAGGTCCATTTTTGAAGCCCGTTGCTGTCATCACAGCAACCAAAAACTGTTCAAATAAGAATCCACTAGCCTGACTTATGAACCGGAAGTTTGAAGAAGAGCACACCCCCAAGCAGCCCGGGGGAGCTGGCAGGGCTCCTGGCTGCAATTGGGGAGCAGGAGCCGCCCCGGGCGCGGGGAAGCAGCCCCGACCCCCCCGAGCTGGGATTTTCAGCGCCAACTCCCAGCGCTGCGCAGGCCCCCGCTGCCTCTTGCCCCAAGAACGAGGCCCCAGCCGAGCAGCTCGGGGCTGCCCCACTGAGCATCACGATGAAACCTGAAACAACTAATCAGTCTGATCCTATTTCAGATTTCTTCATGAAGTCTTTACATGGTTAGAAAATGAGAAAAAAGGTCCTGGATTCCCACCCCAAAACGCTCCTGAGTAAATCATTCTAACTCTGTTTTCCGAAGTGAAATATACCTTTCTTGAAGTTTGCTCTCAGACTCCTTCAGCTTTGTTTTCAAATGCTGTACCGTAACTTCTTTCTGCTGCAGATGACTCAAGTACTGCTCTCGGTTTTGTGGCTCAATGCCGTGGTTGTCACCACAAGAAATGTATATCCCTGATTGCCTGGAAAGGGAAGAAACCCAAACCGTCACAGAACATCACTCCTAGAGGTCTTCAGTCCTGCCAAAAAGAAAGACTTCCCATAGACTGATACAAAGCTTGACTCATTTGGGGCTCCCCAGTGTCCTCACAAGTGGCTCCTCTGGCAAATCAACATCCCTGAGGAAACAGCTGGTTTGTGGCTGTCGTGCAGAGTTTACTATCTGCTGTCCTTGGTTTCAGTGCCATGCCATCAAATGTGACATTTAACTTTAAAATACTTTTAAACTTAGAACTAAAAAACCTTCTTTTTTTTTTTTTCCTCCAAATACAGCTCTTTTTTTGTTTCTTTCTTGTATCACAGTTCTCATCTGTGTTAGTGTTGCCTGAGAGCATAGTGTTCCCCAAATTGTTTTAACACTCACAATACTGATACTGTACGCATTAGCTGCAAGACCAGACCTAGTCGTCTACCTCTGCACTAGCAACACTTGCACTATCCCGGAAAAAACTGCTGTGCTTACTCGAGAGAAAAAGAAGATCTTTTGCTTCCAGCAGCAGACATGGGGACTTGATGCGCTGAAATAGTGCCTGTGCTGCTTGAAGAGATTAAATTGGCTTCACTCCCTGGAAAGGAAAAGGGAAGACTGGAAACATGATGGAAAGTAGAACACAAAGACTGTTTTCAAAATAACAGCAAATCACAAGCATTCTCCCTTTGTGCCCTCCCTTTGAGAGAGGGCCTGACTGTGTAAAAACGTCCAGTAAAGTCATTAGAAGCAGCTGGAAAAGTGGAGAGAATTCAGTTGTAATGCTCACTGTTGGAAGGACCTGCATGTTTAAGAGACTGAGATTAATTTATCCTAGAAACCTTTAACTCACAGCTACGTCTCTACTTCCCGTCTTTAACAGCATAAGCAGTGTGTTTCCAGGAAGCACTAATGCTGCTTCTATTCTATTTAATATGAGGTTGCTCCTGCGAGGTTGTTTTTGTATTCTCCCTCTGCCCCTGTCTCATTCTCTCCACGACCATGAGGTCTAAAGTCAGTGGAAGAAGCTGAGGATGTGCCTGGGCATGCCGAGAAGCAGGTCGGCTTGAAAAGCTCCCAACAGCTCGGTGCCTGGCTCCTCTCTAAGACCAGGGTGGGTGTTTCACACCGCACCAAAGATAGCAGGGTCCACACAGGAGCAGGCTGAGGAAAGCTCCCTTCTGCTGCCTGCTTGACTGGGGAAAGGATCCAGCTGGGATTTGCAGGGCCACATTGAGCTTTGAACTGGGAGGAGGCTGCACATCCCCTCCCCATCACACCACCTGGGACACGCACAGCATCCAGCAGTAAGGACCGGACGAGGAGACGGGGTTCCCATCCTCTCAGCTTCTCATGGCCCTCTGCAGGAGGTAGGATGCCTGCCTGTCTTCATTACCTCCTGCTACGTGCTGGAATCCAAACAGGCCTGAGTTCCCCACAGCTCCCACTTTCATCAGAAGACCCTACCCAAGACCTGCAACCAACACTTTCTCCTTGTCACACATAACACTGCAGAACAGGACTGGCAAGTCTGTTTTATGGCTATTCTGCCTGTTACATTGCTACACTCACATGTGAAAAAGAGAAAAAAAAAATAATACAAACCTCTCTCAATGGGGTCATTAGAACGCTTGCTCTCACAAAGGTTTTTCAAGACCAGGTCAAGCTCAGCAAAGACCTGCTGAGCAAACGCCCGAGCTGCCGACTTCTCGGGGGTCTCCTCCCGTGCCTGCAGCGGTTGTGTCTGCTGGCGTTCGCGAGGTTCCTGCCGAGACAACGCCGCCTGTGAAACATGCAGGCTTTAGCTGTCACTTCTCTGATCTGGAGGAACGACTCGGCAAACAACAGAACGACTGAGGACATCAGTATATGCAGCACCTGGTCCCTCCAACCTCTATTTCCGCAAAAAGCATTCACAGGAGAAAGTGCTGGAAAGCAGGCTCGCATGGCACCTGTGCAGTAGGAAAACCCCTGTGGGCTAGAGGGGAACTTCTTCCTTGATGTACTGGTTTTATTTTTGGTAAGCCTGGCAAGCGTCTGGTGAGTGGCCAGACTAAGCCTTTCCTGCTGCTTTAGTGTGCCCTGATCTCCAGACACGTGGCTTTACTGGCGTGGCAAACAGAGATGACAGTTAGCCGTGGGGCAAGTGGAAGGTGGTCCAGGATTTTCTGCACTTTCCAGCATTCATGGGTGTTTCCCTACCCTGTTTGTTATAACAAACGGGAAATCTGACTATATCCTTAGAAGGCAAGACTGAGAAACCACATGTGTAAAGTTGAGTAAGAATGAATAATAAAGGCTTTCCTTTTCTGCTTACTCCTGATTGGGAATTACTCATACTGAGAGCTTGGAAATCACGGGTGCAGGTGCGCTACTACTTAGGTTTTAAGGTAGAAGGATACTTTTTGGAATTTCAGAGCCTTGCGAGTATTCGTTTAGGGCGTTATCATCAGAAACACAGCTAAGCTAAGCGCTTGACTCAGAACTGTACGAGGTACAGAAAAAAAATGCTCTCAGGCTTGCCTTCCTGATGAGCCATCTAACGAGGCAAAGTCACCAGAGCATGACTGCTTCCAAGAAAGCAGTCTGCTGCCTCGGTTCTGCCACAGAAACTGACTGCAGATAGGGGCTGTTTTGCTACAGGGTTTGTGAGCCCAGCTTTGCCTCATACCTCTCCTTCGTCGGCTGCCCTGGCCATGGCTCCTCTGCCCTCTGCCAGGCTGCAGAGCAACGAGGGTGGTCGCTCAAGGGGCACGTCTGCCTGACCTACCACGCCCGCCTCTATTCCATGGTCCTCAGGCTCATCTGAACACAGCTCTGGAAAGCAAAGGCATAAGGAATGACACGTGTTGGGGTCAGATGAGCTTTAACAGCCACGACTCTGCCTGTTGATTCCGCAGGCCAAATTACATGCCAAGAATGTGCTGCAAAATGATTCCTCTGAAGGAAACTGGCAAAACCCTGCACCCCAAGTGAGGAGCGACCCTCTGATGCCATCTGCTGCCCCCCTCGGGAAGGGTCCCGGCAGCATTGTCACTCAGCAGATGTCGGTCATCACAGTCCAGAGCGCCGGCTCTCACCGTGAAGAACATGCACGTTCCCTTCCTACCTTGGCCAGAAGAGCCCTGGAGGTGAGAGCACATCTGAAATGTGGGCACTTGGTCTGAACTGGACCTGTCTCCTACGGGAGAGCTGAGAGACCTTGCTCAGAAAAGAAGGGCTACAGAGGCCACAAGACAACCTCCATCAGTCAGGCCGTAAGAGACCAAAACTTTCAGCGCAGACCACCTCGTTCTGGGAGAAACCCAATGCCAATGGAGAAAAGCCTGGGGGCCGCCGGGCAGCAGTGCAGCAGGCTTGGCAGGGCGCCGGCAGTGGCACTGTTCACAAACCTCAGGCCACGTCTGAGGAGCATCTGGAAAGACCAAAGCAAGAAGCCCTGGCCTGTGTGCCAGGAGGTGCACTGAAACCTGAAGAAAGGTCATCTAACCTCTGGGAAAGGTCACCCTAATTCGCCCCGTGTGTTAACGTTCAAAGCGGTGAATTCCAGGATGTTACCAGGGCAACGGTGAGAGAACCGCAACCCAAGGGGACGCTCCCAAATGCCCCATGAATTGCCTTTTCCAGGTTCATCTGGATCCACGTGCTTTGAGTTGGACCTGAAATTCAAAGCTTTACAGCATTCTACCTGTCTGCACATCAGCGTGCTCGCTGCTGTCCTCAGGCTCAGGCACTTTGGGCTCCAGCTGCATCTGGGTTCTCTTGCTGCTTGGGCTCTCTTGCTGCTTGGCCAGGGCTCTACTGCAGTCTTCTTCTCGGTGCCTTTGAGCCTGAGGACAGCAATGTGGGATACTCTGGGCAGGCAGCAGGAAAAAGAATCCGTCCCAGATTACTTTCCGTGTGGAAGTGGTAATCCTTCTCCCCACGGGGAAATGAAGGCGAAGGCCTTTGGCCCCACAGACTTGCAGTTCAGGGCCACGAGCCCGAGGAGGGGGGAGTCACGGTCTCTGTGCCCCACGGGGGTGTTTGCTCCCAAGGCTGGGGCTGCACCCAGCTCCTCGGGACCTGCCCACAGGGCACTGCCCCAGCACCCTTCTCGGCTGCTGTGTGGTCCAGAAAAGCCACAGCCGGGCACCAGTCACTGGTGTGGAGCACAGGGGACACGGGCTGCCCGTCTGTGCTCTCCGCCCCGGCACTGGAGATTTCTGCCCAAACCCCACCAGGGAGAAAGAGGCCTCTGTCTTGATGGCTTCCCATCCCAGAAAAGCTGCCCTTCCTCTCCTGAGGCCTCTCCCACCCATACACGATGCCAAGGTGGAGAAAGGTAGCCACTGCTTACTTTTGCCTGGCACTGAACCAGAGTCTCGATGATCTGGGCAGTCATCGTCACCGGCTAGACAAGAGAACAAAGGCCAAGTGGGAGACGCTCCTCTGACGGTCTGTGCTAGAAAGCAGCGTCACTCCCTTGAGCCAGCTGGAACAACTTAGACACTTACAGTTCTGCAGAGGCCCAAGACCGATACAAGGAGATTAAGCGAGGGCAGTGTGGTCACTCTCGTTCCCTGGGCTGTGCTGCTTTGCCTGTGCACAGGGAATGGACAAAGGGAGAGCTCTGTGTCACTGAGCCTGGCTTAGCCCTCTCCCCTGACAGCCCGTCCAGCACCATTTGCATCCAAACAGCCAAAGAAGAAGTCCAGGCGCAAAAGGGGCAAGTGGCGACAGCTGGATCTTGACTTGCTGTTACTTTCCCAAGGCAAGGCTGAGCAGCTCGGGCAGTGCTGCCCCGCAGCTGCCCCAGCAGTGCGGGTACCTCTGCCCCAACCCTCGAGCTGCCTTGCAGCTGCAGCTGGAGCATCCCACCAACTGCCACGGTGGCACCAGAGGTTTGCTACTCCAGCAGGGCTTACCTGAGGATGGCGTCCAGCCAGAGTTCTTTCACCTCTTGCGAGCTGCAGGAGACAGGAGAACCAGTGTCACACCCCACTGCCACCAGCTAGGTGTTGTGCAGTTTTCCCTCCGGAGAACAAAGTCAAAGCCAAGGAGGGTCTGCTCATGACGCAGCCTCGTCTCTCCAGGAGTCCCTTTTGATGCTGCAACTCTGCAGCCTTTGGGATGCCCCTGAGCTGAGGAGCGCTGTCGCAGACACGGGGCTTCTCCAGAGCGGGGAGCGACAGCCCAGCTCTGCCAGAACTGCACCTGGGTTTTCCTGGGAGCAAACGGGACCGCCTGTCTGCACACAGCCCCCGCCTCAGCCCACGCCTTGCCTCACCCCTTTGACAGCGCACACCTTGTGCACGGGCTGTTTCCAGAGGGGAGAGGCTCAGCTCAGAAGAGAAGCCGAGCTGCAAAACGCTGCCCAAGCAAAGCGGTGCCTCTGCTTTCCCTCCCCGCCCCGTGCCGTGAACCTGAGGAGCCAGCTGGGCTCTGAAGGCGAGCACTGGGCCAGACAGCCCAACGCCTGGGTGACACGTCACCGCGACTCACCCGAAAGTGACCCCGCAGAGGCTGGTGGGCCAGACGAGGATGAGGGTACAGCTGCAGTCCAGGCCCAACGCTGCATCTTCTTGTGCACACGCGCACGCCTCCTCCTCCTGGCACAGCACCCACAGCTCGCTGAGACGCACCCTGTGCTGCAGCCAGAACCTGGTGCCACATCTGCAGCCAGGAAGAGCAGGGGCTGATGGTGAGCTTGCCTTCTGGGGGGGCACCCATGGAAATCCTCCTTGGGAGAGCCACTGCAGCTGACAGAGCCCTGGGAAGGGCTGCCCAGCTTCACAGCTCACCCAAATCGGCAACATCTTTGCCGGGGACACCCCCTGACTCTTGTAGCCCTGGTTGCTGAGCGGCCGACCCTCCCCAGAGAGCCTCCCTGGGACTTTCTGGGCCATTGGAGCAATGGCCAGCCCGAGAGGGCTTTGCGAGATGCCTCCTGACGGCTGGTATTGGAGTCAGGAGGTGGGAAGAGAGAGTACTGCCATCCTCTCTTCTTACCTGCGCTTGGCAAAAGCAAGGGCGCCTTGGAAAAGCAGGAGGTCTCTCCTCCTCTTCCTCCCACGCCAGGTCACCTCCACACAGTCGCAGCGGAGGAGCTCGGGATGCCGTCGGGACACGAGGGCACCCAGCTGGCTGCCACCAGAGCCGCCCCTGCAAAGGACACGGTTGCGAGCGTGAGGCACGCGGCTCTGCCGGGAACAGGCCGTGCCCGGTGCCAGAGGGACAGAGCAGGCACGCACCGGGAGAAGCAGGAGGGCAGCTGGCCCATCGTGCTGCGGCCAGGCAGACACTTGGGCTGTGGAAGCGCTCAGCACGGGGAAGAGCAAGGCCCCGCAAGGCCTTCCGAGGCTGGGCAGCGATGTCCCCGTGCCAGGGTGCTCCTGCCAGAGCCCGTCTCTCCCCAGCACTGCCCGCGCCAGCACAGTGCCGCACCGGGAGACACTGGTGTCCGTGACACCACTGGTGCCCCTTGTGATGCGCGGGGGGGCCACGCCCAGGGCGGGGGCACACAGCGGGCGGGGGGGCTCCGGGGCTCCAGGAGCTGCTCCTACTCGAATGGCTCTTCCCACACTCCCAGCAAACAACAGGAGCTCCCTCCAAGCCGAGGGTCCTGAACAAGGCAGAAAGCTGCGGGCAGGAGTCCCCTCGGAGCCAGGAGAGACGCTCTGTGCCCGGCCCCTGCCAGCTGAGCCAAGGCCTTCCAAAAGGCCCTTCAGCACCTCGGCTCCTGCTGCCGCCACCTCTCCGCGCATGGTGATGTTCAGTCCTTCCACCTGGTCCTCCAGACTGGGCCCAGGGCTCAGGCCAGCCTTGGCGAGACTCTGCGCTGCAGAAAAATGGGTAACAGCCTGGATTTCCTGCTCCCAGCAGGCTGCGCACAGGCAATCCTCGGCAGCAAAGCGCTGACAGCTGTGCTTAGGGAAGACACAAGAGCGGTGAGCTGAGGTCCTGGTGAACACGCCAGTGTCAGCCCAGCAGTCCCACCAAAGCTGTCAGACTGCCCCAGAGCCCAGCCCCTTCGGTGCCACAGTGCATTTCTCTGCTTGGGCTGGCTCACAGACCTCCTGTCCCAGGGCACGAGCATCACGCCACAGGCCCAGCGTCCTCGAAGGCACCTACCCGAAATGTTCTGCTGACGTCGGAGGCGTGTCCATGCCCGAGAGCTGCTCAGGACTCCTGGCAGGCAGCTACCGCAGTCCGTTTGCTGCCTTTGGAGCAACCTGAGCTCCCAGGTAGCCGCCCCAGACTCTTCTCTCGGGCGAGTGGTGCCTGAGCGGGGCTGGGGTGCTGTCATTTGCTGCCAAGTAAAAAGGGAGCAGCGGCATCCCAGGTGTGATAAATAATAGAAGAATTTTGCTTTTGCTAAAAGTAATTAAACAATTTCTTCTTAGGCTAAAGCTATTATTAGTACAATGATCCAAATTTTAAGAAAAGTAAAAGACTTTACTACTGGAAAATAAAAGGGGGGAATTGATCTGAGGAAACACCAACCCAACAGCCCCCCCTCCTTGAGATGCTCACCAGATGGTCCATATCAAAGGGTGGTAACTCCTTTGCAATGGAATGAGAAAGAACAGAATGGGCCATCTCTGGTATCCCTTGTCCTTGAGATAAGAGAGGAAATGAAACCACTGAGCCATAAAAGACAAAGGAGCTGCAAATTGGCCCAGACTTGAAGGACAAGGTGTACGTGACCACAGGACTGAAGAAATAAGAAGAAAAGATTGTAGAAGAAGACAGGAGGCGTGCCAAAGGTGTTGAAACCGGCAGCTGGGTGGATAAAAGGGGGTTTCAAACTTAAACAATTTGGTGAGCCTGGACGGAGCTGTCACTCCTCGGCCACCCCAGCGCTGTATTTGCTCTCTTACCTAAATAAAGATTCATTAATCCATATTTGGATGTGATTTGCCTTAATCTACCTATAACACAGGGAGCAGCCCAGGGGAGCTGGTTCTCTTCCGAGGCCACCAAAGCAGCCTGCCTCTGCCCCCGGTTTTGGGGGAAATACAGAGTGGCGCAGAGATGTTCCTCAGTTATTCAGAAGAGGGGCTGGGGTGGCGTTGGATGCCTCCATGTGATCTCAGAGGGAACATGGTGGGTGTCAGCCCGCAGCGTGGTCAGGCCTTGGTGATCCCAAACTGCTGCAAGTGTGTATCGGGGGGGGGTTCTGGGGGCAGGACATGGTGGTGTTGCATGGAGAAACTCCCAGGTCCCTTCCCGTGGCTCCAGTTTCCCTGCTTTCCTCTGGGATTAAAATCCCTGCTCAGGAAGGGAAGAGCAATGGAAGGGCAAGGGAGGGGAGGGGCTACCATTGAGGAGGAGAAGGTGTGATGGGGAGGAGGAGAGAAACGGTGGGGTGTTTGAATCCAGACACCTCCAGAGCAGAGATTGCCCTCTGATCCAGATCTGGTCCTGGCACGAGCCCTGCCGTGCCTGGGTCTGTCCTTAAAACAGGCTTGGGCAAGGGTGCCAGGTACCATCCCTGCTGAAGACTTTCACGTGCTCCCTTTTCCTTTCTCCTGGTACAGTTCTGGATCAGTGTTCGAAAGGGGTCACTACGTACTTCTGCAGCCGGGAGCAATGCCCCTTCCCTCGCCAAAGGGTGGCACAGTTCTGCGAAACCATTTGCCTGATCTCCTGCTACGTGGTGGTAAATTGGCTGGGCTGCAAGGAGGAAGAGGTGGGAAGTGCTGCTTTCCACGCCGGGGGCTGCAGTGGGGGGGTCTGTCTGTGCCCAGTGGGGTGTGAGCAGAGGGGTGAGGGGAGGAGGGCTCCCTGACGGGAAGCACCCGAGTCCTGGGGCCTTTCTGCAGGGAGGGCTGGGCCACCAGCATGGGGAAAAGCTCTCTCTCCTCCGGAGTGAGCCCTTCTCCTGTGGGGCAGAAGGGAAAGGGAAACCCCTGCCAGCGGGAAGGGCAGGCCAGCGTGTAGGGGATGCTGAGCACTAGGCAGACCTTCAGCCCTCCAAGCAGAGCCTCTCCTTCCCTCTTCAGGACAAGCAGGCTGTCCTTGGGGCGGTGGCCGCCAGGACGGGGGTCCTTCTGCGTGAGGAGCAGCACCGCGAGCGTGCCTGGGAGCAGCTCCTCTGGCTCTTGCACCAAGATCAGGAGGTGCGAGACACTCCCCGGGTCAGCAAGGTGAGGTGTTGCGCAGGGCCCGGCGTGGCTGCTGGAGCGGGTCTGTGCCCGTGCCACGAGGCGCTGGGGAGCTGTGCGGTGCCAGGAGGAGCTGAGAAGCCCTTAGGGAAGGATCGGGGAGAGCAGAGGAGGCCTGAGGCTCTTTGGGCACGAAAGTAGAAACCCGCATAAGAGGCTATGCTGAGCCTGCCTGGCAGGGCAGATTTAGATTGGATATTAGGAAAAATTTCTTCACTGAAAGGGTTGTCAAGCACTGGATGAGGATGCCCGGGGAAGTGGTGGAGCCGCCCTCCCTGGAGGTATTTAAAAGCCGTGTAGATGTGGTGCTTAGGGATATGGGACAGGGCTGGACTTGGCAGTCTTGGCTTAATGATTGGACTCGAGGATCTTAGAGGTCCTTGCCAACCTCCATGATTCTATGATACTAAAACCTTGGCTACCATGACACATTTTCCCCGTGCTAGGAAGGAAGTTGCTCTTTACAGAGAGACCAAGAGGCCTCGGAAAACATCCTGAAAAACTACATGAAACAGCCTTCCCAGACCAGGGACCAGAGGTGTATAGATACATCTCTGGGGCTCACCAACACCTGGTTTTCCCTGAAGCAACACGTCACGGTTTGGGGGGCAGGAATCTGTTCTCGGCCAAAGCAGCTCTGTCGGAGCAGAGCACATGCTTGTCTTCCCTCGGGAACTCTCCTCTCCCCCGAAGGAAACACGGGAAACTCAACATGAACAGCGTGGGAAAGAGCACACTCTCCTGCTCCAGGAAGAGCAAGTCGCATTCCAGTTGCGTACACACCTTGCTGCTCTTCCCGCCGGAGAAATCGGCAAACCTCTTCAGACACACCACAAGAACCTCGGGCGCGCGAGGGATTGTAAACCTCCTGCAGGCGGCAGCCGCCTTGTCACGCCCTGAAACCAAGCACAGAGCCAGGGGCCGAAATGCACCCTTGAAATGCACCCTTTTTTCTCCCCAGAAAGCCAGAGAAACTTTCAGGTCTCACACATCTTACGCCATTTTAAGCATATTCAGTTGCATAAGGCCATTTAAAAAAAAAAACAAAACAAACAAACAAACAGCTGTGTCACATCACTGTGCATTAAACCTACGTGGCAAGTGACTCGCTAGATGACATGCAGCACCTTCATGCAGGATCTAGTATTAATATGTCTTACTGGCTACATTTAAGGCCTGACTTCCACAGGCCGTTCCACTGCCCACCCACCACCAAGCTCTCTTCTGGTCGCAGTATACATTTTTAAGTCAACTGCATTTATTCTGTAAAGCTACAGGGACCTTGATACATCTTGAAGCACAATTACAAACCCTCTTACTTTCATACCCAAAGCTGGAAATCAATACTCGATGAGAGTACATCAAGGTGTCCAAAGGGCTTGGGTACATGGCAAAGGTGATTTTTTTTGTGCTTACTCGCTGCTTCCACTCAGACAAGCTCTCTGTATGATGGCATTGACAGTACGCTGTAAGAACTCGTGGGAATCTTCCTGCCTGACAGGCGCAAAATGTTCTATTCCTAAGAAAGAAGAAGTTAGTAGTTCTCTCCTACAAGAAAGGCAGAAAACCTACTTTCCCAAGAGCTCTCCTGCTTAAACTCCTAAAGCTCTTTACTCAAAAGGGTCTTTGAAACGGTGCAGGGCCTTCCTTGGGAAGGACCAAAGGCAGACAAGCGGGATGGCTCTAGGCGGGATGGGTGGGAGAGGGAGAAGCGTGGAAAAGAAGAGCAGGAAAATGACAGGGTCAGTGGTTTGTTCCCATTGGGAAGGATACCAGGAGGGCCTCGGTCCTGCAGCCCTCCAGCTCCAAGCAGCACTTGCTAGGTCTGACCGTGATGCTTGGGGCTTCATACTGCAGGCTCTAGAAAGCCCCCGAGGGTGGAGACCTGAAAGAGCATGGCTTCACAGCTTAGCAGCAGCCACTCATGGAAGGAGTGTGGCTGCAGCAGGGGCTGATGTGAAGAAAGCTGCGGCGTAGGACGGAAAAAGAGAGCAGTGCCAAGATCCCAGAGAGAAATCCACTGTCCATCTGGTGCCGTTGTTGCAGTTACCTTAATAAAACAGTTTGAATCCTAGGATATTATTTTGATTTTAGTTTAAAAGTATGATTTTGATTTAACATGAAGCTACAGTAGCTATGAGAATATAAAGTACACTAAGGCCCTTAGGAGTAAGCAACTAGTATGCTGTGTGCCTTGAACACTATAAGAATCGTTATGGACTCTGAATTAACACAATAGCTACTGGTTATGGATCCTGACTTGAAACAATAGGCATCAGAAGAAACTGGTTTGGTTGGGAAGATCGGCCAAGGGAAAGGTGAGCATTAGCCAAAGATGGAGTGAGCATGTGCAAGGATGGAGTTCAATCAGCCGACACAGTGATGAAGACTATCGACGAGCACCAGAGGACCCCCGTCCAGTATAACCACGCATGTGTTAGGGACATTGGCATATGATAATAATTCCCAGGAAATAACATGAATATGCTAATCATTGCCCTCCCCCCATTCTATTTAAATCAATCAGTAAAGATGACCAATGATTTCTGTAGAATAGGAAGAGAGGTAAGGTGAGGTAACTGAAAGCCAATCATTATAAAGGTCAACTTAAACTTTCTGAACTTTGTTGATCTCATGCAACTACGACTCTGCTGAAAAAGTGTATAAATATGCTGTGCTTTGTACCTGTCGATGAACACGTCTTTGGCGGAGTTATCCCCCGTGTTCCCCAGCGCTGGAATAAAGAAGTGCCAGCTTGTCTGCTGTGTGTAGATAAGTTCTATTCACGATTGTGACCGCTAACACTACGATCATTTTGCACCCACGGAAATGAGTGAGGAACATCCAAACTGATGGAGAGCTTGGCCTTCAAGGTCAGTGCTTCCCAGCTTGACCAAGTGGTGCCAAATACTGCTTGGTGCTCCAGGAAAGCCGTTTTGGGAAATGAGTGTGGAGGCTGCTGCTGACCACTATCTTGTACTTACTCTGGTTGGGAAGTAACGGCTGGTTTTGAACTTCTTCAGTAAGCTCAACAGCACAAAGGTGAAGAAGAGGATGCAGCACCGGAGGAGGACATCAGGTGCGTAGG